TATAACATGCAGATATAACATGCATATTTCCAAGGGCTCGCAATGCGACTCGCTCTCGCCCGTCATAATTCAGAGATGTATTATTACGAGTACCCACGATTTATAGAGGAAAGTCCCCTATTATGAGATAGGCTTTTAATGCGAGATAGCAGGTTTTTAACGTTGAAGTTCAACCACAAATCTTTTTTCGCGATGATTATACGATCTAACAATGAATTTTCCACTAAAAAAAAAACAGATTTCACTTTCAAGAGTAATAAATTCACGGTGGAACCAATAGATGATGCTTGTTAATTTAACGGAAATTCTGCTATCTCATATTAGGAACTTCCCTAATAGCACAGAAATATTTTAAATATATTTTAAAATCGTTTTACAATACTTTATAAATATTTTAAAATATATTGAATCTTTTAAAATATTTCTGTGCTATTAGGGTTGTCTCATAATAGGGAACATACGTACAAATCAGCGGGTTCTCTTGCGAATAATTCAAACGGGCGACTAAACGGACAGACAGAGTAAAACAATCCGCGAAATGAACGTTAACGCGAGAATAATGCACAAACAATCGTATTCACCATAGAGTTGCTCCGCCGCTGCCCGATGTCTCCTAGACTGCCGCCTCCTCTCAGACTCCTCCGTCTCGCACTGGCACAACGCGACACTCGCGAAAGAAAAGACGATTACCGAAGAACGCACAACACTCACTCCCGGTGTTAACCGACGCGGACGTCACTGCAGCGAGAACGAGAAACAATCGCGCGCGGAAACACGAGCCGAATCTGGCGAGATGGCATCGCGCGAAACGACGAGAGCATTCCGGCGGGAAGGACTCGCGGAGATGCGCGAGGCTAACTTGACGCGCGTCGCGAAAACGGGAACCGAATGCGTGCGTTCGACAGGGCGATATCGCGCGAACACTTCTCTCGCAGCACATCACGCGTGGAAAACTCGAATATCACTGCACGCGCGAGGAGACACGAATCAAAGTTGAACAACTCGGTGCACTCCTGGCGCCCGAGAATACGACGGCGCCGTAGCGACGCCGACCGCGCGTGACATTTCGGCCGGGATTTTCCACATTTACGCGTCTCGATGGATTACCATTCGCGAGGATCGAGTCTACGTCGTACGATTGTCGAGCTGAACAATGTTACCGCACTTGTGCGTACCGTAAAACGCGTCGACCGACACACGAAACCGATTCACTGCGTGTCCACGGCGCTCCTCGAATGGATTAACATGGCGTCGTTCCCGGCAGCTACTGCGCGGCGCTGCTGCTGCGGCACTGCGCGAATCACGTCCACAACGCGATGTATTTCGAATAGAGGAAACGGCAAGTTTCTCTCTCCCGAGGAACGAAAAAGTCGCGTAATTACGCGGAATATGATGGCGCACATCGCCCCGTGGCGTACGTCCCGGCGGCTCGAGCGCTACTGCGAAGAGCGAACGTCCTCTGACCGCGCGGCGGTCGCCGGCGGCGCGGCGGCTCGACGTAAACAATTACCGAGCGGCGCGGGGTTGAAAAACATGATAACAATTTTGAACGAATAATGAAAGATACGCCGTACCTGCTCCGTTGATTTTTACAGATAAACGGCTATCATTTTGCGTGGGTAACGGTTGGTCGCTGTGATCGCTTTAAAAGGTCTTAATGTTATGTTAATGTTATGTGAAACTTTATGTTATACGCTATTTTATAAGTAATAATGTTAGAGAGATTATTTCTTGGCAAGCGATCGAGATATTGTAATTTTTTGTTATCATTTTACCCGACGATTCGCGTATTACCTTGCGCTTTTGATTTGAATGCGATAAATGTTTAACTTGAACCGACGAAAATTTTAAAGCACAACGTATGAGAGATTCACTCGAGTTCGATTGTTAAAAGAGGTATTATCGCTCGTGGATGTAGCAAAACTAATAGTTTATATATGCAATTCCTCGCATTTTCTCTTCCAATTACGCGTGATATTCATCTAGATTGAAAGCGCGAAATAATACACGAAATATTGAAGCTTTAACTAGCATTTATGGGTGATTTGACAATGCTACCAGTTTATGTACTTTTCACGTAATTTATAAATGGAAATACATGCGCGACATTAAATTTTCAATTATTTTCGGACAATTGTATCTCAATAATCGTATATTTTTTGTGTTTCCTTATTTTCCTGTCGCGTGTGATTAATGCTGAGATATGTTACCAAAGTGCCACGAAGTCTCGTCAATCATTCCACGGGGTTTGGTCAATAATACCGCGAAACGTAAGTACACATTTTATATGAGAATGATTACGAAAAATTAAATATGGTTGACTCTTTTTATCCGGCAGAAAATTCATTTATTTATTACATACGAGTACGCGCGAATTAAATCGTACGTCGTAAGTTCGTCAGCGAGTTTCAAAGAAAACAAAATTTAATTAATTTCTGACTATTTTTGATATTTTATTGACGAATGTTGAATTCATCAATGGCCGCGTTCAGCAGACACAACTGTTGAGTGAGCGCTCAGTATGATTGGTTAATACTTTTAGATCCAGCCAATCATATTAAGGATCTAAAAGTGTTAACCAATCATACTGAGCGCTCACTCAATAGTTGTGTCTGCTGAACGCGGCCATTGACACTTTGCGCTTTTCACACGAGTTCACGCTAAAGGAAAAGATTCATGGTCGTGCCCGAGATTTATCGCCAGACGGCGCTAAAATCGCAAATTCACAAGAGGGAATTTCAGACTCCGTGGTTTGGACCTCCTGCTTTGGTACCCCTGACTCGGACCCCCCCTTGGTGAAATGAACGTGACCTGTGTTTGACAACTCGGTGGTGCGTTATGTCCAGGCCGAGGGTCCCGTGCGTCGCTGATCACGCGTAACCGTGCACGACTGAGGATCCGCGGAGTTTGATGTTCTCCTTTTGCGTGCACTAATGAGAGGAGCACGATGTTGAGGTACATTCTTCCCGTCGCGATAATCGTTATCGCCTGCCTGTCGCAGCTGTCCGAGGTTAGAACGCGTTCTCGCGACGCAATTGTACCGTCTCGGCCGGAGATCGGCGGGTATTTTTCGTAATCGGCGACCGCGACTGATTCCAGGCGCAGTACGACGACAAGAGATGCAAGTGCATCTGCCCGAGCCTCTCGTCTGTCATCAACACGACGCAGTCGTCCATGGAGCGTCTCACGTACATCATAAACGTTCCACCGTTGCAATGGTAATTCTGCGAGGAAAGAATATCTCGAGGACGAGAAACATCCCCCGTTGTTTCGTCAATTGATTCGTTATGATTAAATTCGACGCGTTTGTACTCGAGGCTCGCGCGAGCCTCTGCATAAGTAAAGCGGTTCTGCGAGTTTTGGAATTATCGTAAAATGGCTCTCCCACATATTTTACGTACTCGCGTTACGATTGGCATTGTTATTTGACTCGTAGCTGTTGCCAGTCTATTGCAAATCCCGATCTACAGTGTGCTTTTTGCGTGTAAAAACATTTTATTTTGTAGTCGGCAAATGTAATTAAAAAGTGTGCGAGTAGACAAATTATACATTGTGCACCGTACAATTATGTTCAGAAATTTTTTGAGCATATTGGGTCTGTTCTTTATTGCTGCACTCCTGAACTAGTGCACACTGGTGCAATGAGTTGAAATGAGAGGTAATCTATTTGTTTCATTTTAACTTATTGCACTAGTTCAGTAGTGCAGTAATAAAGAACAGGCCTTTTGATTTGCTTGCACAAAACAGAATGTTTTTAGCTAAAGCCTGATCTACGGTGTGCTCTGTGAGCCTAGAAACATTCTACTTTGTGGGTCACAAGGCAAGATGTAGGTAGCCCAACTTGTAAATCTTAAATCTTTCTGAAAATCGTGAATCTATATACCGTTTCTTACCACCCCTGATGGAAAAATTTTGCTGAAAACGTAATGAAATTTGCTGAAATTTGGTTGAAAATCTCTTGCAATTGACCCAATTTCATTATCATTTCAGCAATTTTTCGTTAAAAAATTTATTTTCAGTTAAATTCTGCAAATTTCATAATATACAACATTTCTAAAATTGTTTCACTAATTTTTAGTAATATTAATTAACTTTCATCTAATTTCACAGTATTTCATTGAATTTCATAACGAAACTTATGATTTATTTTGAAATGGTTTCAACAAGTTTCCAATAACTTTCATTTCACTTTTCATCAATTTCATTACATTTTTAGCAAAATTTTTCCATCAGGGACATTAGTTCTACGCGCCGATTTCTTTTTCGGGCATAACGCAGATTATCTTATACCTGGAATTAGTATCGTCAGCAGATTCACATATACTTAGTTTAAGATAGTGGTCTTACTTGAAAGTTTATTATTCTCCTTTGTAGTCGGGAAGTATGTTGAAAGACTATTTGCGCAAGTTGACAAACTCTGTATCGCTCATCGTACAGTTGTACGTCGTGGACAAATGTTTCCAGCAAATTGTTTACATAAAATGTAATGTTTCTAGATTCGAAAAGCACATTGTATATTAGACCTGATACGCGTGTAATTTGCAGCAAGTGCGAGAACGTCGTCCTGCCGAAGGTTGGCGAACAGATAAAGGGCAAGGAGGAGGTGTTTTGCTCTCGATGCGACTGCAAATATGAGAACAGGAACACGACTATTATTAAGGTAGCTCACCCCCTCATCTGCGGACCTCGTGTCGCCACAGCGTAGATCCTCTAGCGTGACGGGACAATTTCTGTTGCAGATCGTGGTGATAATAGTTATATGGGTTATCTCGTTGTTAGTAATTTATATGTTATTCCTAATTTGCCTGGACCCGTTGCTTAACAAACGGATACACAAGGCGTCGGCAAACATTGGTTATCACGAGCATAATAACGAGGAGGTAAATACGTCACCCAATAGTTTCTTTTTTATCAACGTCCACGCGTATGAAACGTTTAACGATCAAGTGCGCCGATCGTTTCAAGTTCCTCCCTTCCTTTGTCACGCAGGACGACTCGTCTCTTGCGCCCGGAACGTCTCATCCGATGGGGGAGAGGGGTAACGTTTTGAATCGCGTCGGACACCAGCAGGACAAGTGGAAACGACAGGTCCGGGAGCAGAGGCGGAATATTTACGATCGTCACACCATGCTGAACTAAGCTGCACGTTTTGTTCCCCTCCCTCCCCTAAGTATGTAAAAAAAATATCAAAGACACGGAATACTTCTAGTTGCGACGACGAATTTGTTCGATCCTTTCGGAGCAAGCCTCCCGCGAATAGTTTGTATCGATAAAGTATAATATATTGCAGTAATAAAGTAACATTAAGCGCCAGCGACTGTATCTTCGCGATTATTTATTTTCGTAAAATTCTATCCGACGGAGTACGGCTGATGTTGAGCGAAAATTATATATTCGGAGATTTTACAATTTTTTCTGTGATTATAGTGCAATTGAATAATAAAGTATTAAGCATACATTAATCGCGCGTACTGCGGCATGCGAAGTTTTATTGGAGGTATCTGCGAATAATTATTTCTGGTCAATACTCATTATATTACCTTATATGAAAGTAAGAAGAACGTTTTCTTGTAGCGAATTCGGTTGCTTGCACTAGTTAAGAGTCAATTCTTATATTTAACTTTGTCTTAAATACATGTTCAAAGAATATTTAACCAAAAGGTGCTTTGTACGGATCATTTTACTGGCTAAGAAGTTTTTCAAGAGATATTTAAAATGATCTTTAAATATAAGATTTGACTGTAGACGAGCCTCAGTGCGCACTAGTGCGAGCAACCAGATTCACTATTAGATTATACGCGACCATAGGACTAATTTAGGGAAAGATTCGATAATTTCGACGCCACGATATCAAAACAGTTTTCTCAAAAGCGGCCCCGAAGCTGTGAAAACCAATGGTAAAACAGAGATTATCTTTTCTCTGTATTTTTGATAAAGTTCTTCTCAATAATATTATTTATTATTGCACTTAGATGAAAGTCTTTAGACGATTACGTATAAATCCCGAACGCCTCTCAATCGCATGTACTTTATAAGACGAACTCTTGTGTGCTGCGGCAGGAAACTGAATTCCTAAGGTTTTTCACCTTTCAAGATTACCCTCTCAAGCGAATCTTTGATCCTGTCGTATAACGTTAAGACGAGAGCACCGCCGGTGCCGCGGAGAACGTTAGAGAACGCGCCCTTGAAGAAAGCCCCGGTACCCTCGTTTCTCGTCACCTTTATCCAACAGTCCAGCGTATTTTTGTACATCATGTCGGCCTTGCTTCGCCCCGACTGCATCATCATTCGTCTGCGAACCGTGTCGAAAGGATAGGACACGATACCCGCCAGCGTCGTCACTATCTGCAAAGGATGGCAACTTGCGTAATAACAAAATTATCGTATCCATCGCTTTATTGTTATTCTTTACATGTAAGACTGATGGTAGAGAACGATCCGCAAACGCTTAAGACTGTCTTCGTCGTAGACGTAAGGCAAGGCAGAGAAGAACGCAGGTCGTATACAATAGCCTTTCACTACTGACATTTTTCTCTGCCTTGCCTTACGTCTACGACGAAGACAGTCTTAAGCGTTTGCGGATCGTTCCCTGCCATCAGCCTATAGAAGGGATAGGTCTGTACCTCGGCGATTATAAAATTCATGTACAACGGCGTGCTCTTCGGATCGGACAGCATACCCGTCATGGTGTCGTAAAATCCGAAGTACGTCGCGCGGTATATGACGATTCCCTGCACGCTGACGCTGAAGCCGCGATACAGCCCGAGAAATCCGTCCGATTTGAAGATCTTCACTATGCAGTCTCTTATACCCTGAAATTCCCGTTTCTCGCCCCTCCCGACGTCAGCGGCCAATCTGAAAGACCAGACTGCTGTCTTGCATTCAGCATGGAATTGTAGATAAACAGGGGGGGACCATGATCGGCCCCCTCGAGAGATTCGTCAGAACGCACAAGTGTTTATTTTTTATTTAAAAATACATCGAGTTAGGGAAATATACTAAGCAGTTTGTAAGATCCCAATTAAAGATCGATTGGTATAAAATTAATATCAGTAATAAACGAATGTTATACCACACTTTCGCTGTCTGCATTAGTAAAAGTTATTGGAACAATGCAGACTGCTCCGAAATGTAACGTTCAAGCTGTACCACGTTAGCTTCTTATACTTTTCATTTGTAAAACACCTTACGTTAAGGTTTGTAACGCGTACGGAGGATGTACCTGGTGCGAGCGAAGTCGAGCGGATAAACGAATAAGAGCGACGTCGCGCCAGCGGCACCGCCGGCCGCGAGATTTCCAGCGAACTGTCGCCAGAAGGCATCCGGCGGCACGTCTCCCAGGAAGATCGCCTTAAATTTGTCTTTGAACGCAAAATTGAGCGCCTGAGTCGGAAAGTATCGAATAACGTTGGCGAGGTTGCCCCGGTAGAAACTGAGAAAGCCCGTTTCCCGGGGTATACGAACGAGCGCGTCTATCATACCTGAAATTTCAACGAGTGAAAGACTGAGACGCTAAATGGAGACTCTCTTGTGTCGAAGCGAATCGCTCTAACGTACCCTTGTACTGCTGCTCGGGTCTAATCTGCCTCGAGGTGTGCTGCACCTGCAGCAACAGTTTCACCCTCTCCAGAGGGGCGACCGCTGTCTTCGCGATCGCCGCGGACAGACCGCCCGCCAGGAAGTCGACGAGAAAAGATGTGTACGCGTCCATCTCTCGCGGGAAGCGGGCCGCCAAGATCGACAGATTCCAAGAAATTAACAGTCCGTCGTGCGGATCGCGTCGAGGCAGCGCGACGTTTGCATACTTTCAATCGCGTATCTTACGCTAATAACGAAATATCTTCGCGCTATCTGTCAAAGGTGTCAGACGTAACGTTCAGATCTACTATGCTACGAGTCACTTGTTTTCGGCCTACAAGATGCATCGCTTGAAATAATCGGAGGATCGCTTCTTCCGAAAGTTCCCTAAGGCTCGGTTGCACCAATTCCCCGCTTAACTTTAGCTTAATTCACTCTTCCTCTCTTTCTATTTTCCTCAGAAAGGAGCGAATTAAATTAAAATCACGTGACGCTGCTGCAACCGGGCCTGAAACGATTAACAATTATTAAAAAATCGTGATCGCGAAATTAGAACAAAATTTACGAATTGCGCTCGTAACATTTACTCGTGTCGTTGCTTTACACAAAGTCAGATATACGTGCTTGTTTAAAGTTTCATATCGGTCACGCAAATGTGTGTGGTGTCAGAAGCTTTTATTCAAAAGTTACAGCTATGATTCATATAAATGATCGGATCACAGTGATCTCTATGACTTTCATATATATATAAACGTGGGATAAAATATATTACTTATTTTTTTGTCCTTTTTATCTTGTACAGATACAGAAAATAGAACGCTCACGCCAAAAGTTATATGTATATAAATTTATATCGAGGACTAGAAGAAAGATCTCTTTATGTTGAACGATATTAAGTGCGATGTTGAGAAACATCAAATATTTTCACTCTCTAACAGATCTAAACGGATGCTTGATAATTGTATTTGTATGATAAATATGTAATAGAACATTTGGAGAAATTGCATTCGGCACATATTGGCATAGAATTGTAGATAAACGGGGGGTGCCGGCATAATCGGCCACCCCCTCGTGAGATTCGACAGAGAACGCACACATTGTTTTTTTTTTATTTAAAAATACATCGAGTTAGGAAAATATACTAAGCAGTTAGTAAGATCTTAATTAAAAGTCGACTGGTATAAAAATAATATCAGTAATAAGCGAAAGTAATGTTATTACCACACTTTCACTGTCTGGATTAGTAAAAAATTATTGGAATGAACAGATAACGGAAATTCCTTGTGCTAAAGTACTTGTATTCTTAAAATGCCACAATATTATCGAATCATTTACACTTGTTGACTCTCGAAACCGAAAGTAATGCGTCAATTTAAAACCGTATACACGCGTGTTTTCTTTTTGGACAGATGCTATATAGAATGGCAGTGAAAGTGTTGAATTTTCGTAATACAGGAAGTTCCGACGTTCAATTACACTTGGCCCACACTACAGAGCAAGATATTTAAAGCAAATACATAACGAAGGGATCCGCCGAGTACTTCTCGTGAATGTACATTGAAGAACACATGACCTGGAAAAACATTCGACTGTCTTTCATGCCGCCCATTTACGCTGCGTGAACCGACTGAAAAGGGAAAATGCGATAAAGTTACTGGTGCCGCTTCAATTTCTACGACGCAGACGGTCGCAAGGTTTTTATGCGTACCTTCGCAATGTCTACGCCGGTCAAATTTTTAACAAGATCTGGAACACGCTGTACAATATTAAAAACTTCCTCGGTTAGTTTCTCAGCGCCGATAGTGCCATTACCGCTGGAAACCATGGTTATCTTTTTTGCTTGAGACAGAGGAGCGGCCACTTCGGCGGCAACCTACGGCGAGTTGAAGTTGAAATATTTACGATTATCAGCCTGCTTTGAAAACTTTCGCCACGAATCGACGTACCTTCGGAAGCGTATCGAGCAACATGTCTATCATGGCTGCGCTCTTGTATTCGCTCCATGCCGCAGCTTTCTTCGCCATCTGTTCTGCCTCCGCCTTAGCTTTCGCCTCGATGGCGAAGGCTTCCGCCTCACCGCGAATCTTAATAGCTTCAGCCTCGGCTTCAGCCTCCATAACGAGGCGCAACTTATTTGCCTCGGCCATTTTCTCTAATCTGAAAGTCAAATCTTTAGTCGAGGAGCGCGACAGGAGCCTCGATTCGCAAGCATTATCGAATACCGGTATTTTTCCGCGTCAGCGGGGCGTCGTACAGTGGCCTCTAATTCTCTCTCGCGTCTCATCATCTCCTGCTCCTGCACGGCGATCTCCTGACTGCGCTCCACAACCTTCACTTGCATCTGCTCCTCCATAATCCTCTGTTTGGTCTTTGCCGCTTGCAACTCAAATGCCATTTCTGCTTCAGCTTTCTGTAAGCGATATCTGCGATTAAAAAATTGTTCCTGGAGCGTATCGTGGGAAGCATTAAAAGTCTTCTTACTTTAGTTTGGACCTCGACATCGTAAGCAGCCTTCTTCAACTCGAAATCACGCTGCGCTTTTGCGATATCCGTATCATTTAGGAAACGCGCGGCCATTCTCTGCTCCTCGGCAATAGCTTCCCTAATTTGAGCGTCTCTGCGAGCCTCCGCTTCGCCTATTCTAGCGTCTCTCTTCACTTCTGCTGTACGTGCCATACCAAGTGCTTGCAAATAACCCTATAAATAATATATTCTCATAACATTGTTGCACAACGTGGTAAAGTTTCTCACAATAGTACAATGAGTAACAAATGATTTTAGCATTTATGTAAGCGATGTCTGAGCGATGTAACAAGGCAACATATATAATTTATACGTTTTGTAGCTCCAATTCACAATGTCAAAATATTTTCAAATAGAAAAAGTTGAAGATACTTGCAAGTTGTAATAGCATAAAGCGGTCACACATATGGTAAGACATTTTATATGGTAAGACGCTCCTAATATGAGACAGCGGAGTTTCTGCTAAATTAATAGGCATCGTCTGTTGGTTCCACCATGAATTTATTGCCCTTGGAGTGAAATCTGTTTAGTGGAAAATTGATTGTTCGATCGTGTAATCGTCGCGAAAAAAGATTCGTCGAAAACCTACCATCTCATATTAGAATCCTATCTCATAATAGAGGTCTTTCCTCTATACATATATTTTTGTTAAAGAGATGAAACGAATCAGCAGTATCTTCATATCTTGCTACTTAAAGATACTTCGGCATCGAATCAGTGGTGAGTGTGCACAATTGTGTTGTTACAAAAAGCAATAAGAATGTTTGTTTCTGTAGAATCCGTAGACGACGATAATATTAGAATGACATAGCGGTGTGCGCTGTGACATTAGATACAACAGTGATAAAGTTAAATTTGAACGTACCTTTGCCCCCTGCAAGTAGCAAAACAAAAATGTATTCAATATGTACAACATACAAGATGTAGTTATATAGATGTAGTTAATTATTTAAAGATTCATACTCACGTATCGATATTATTAATGAACATTATTGAATCGTTTAAAGGGGGACTTTTGAATATCTCCGTATATACACTCGTATGTACACTATGTACACTTTAGTAATTCAATTTGTACATGTTACTGCTAGAGTTATTGATTTGGAATGTTCACGCGGTTGACTTATATATATTTGTGTGTTTTTATATATATATATATATATCAGAAATCTGTTTTTTGTACAGAAACTGCGGTAAACTTACTTCCTCGTCTCTAATATCTTTCAGAGTGTATGACACGACAGTAATGCCCATATTGACTAGATCGCTGCTCGCCACCTCAAAGACTTCCTTGCTAAACTTTTTACGATCCTTGTAAATTTCCTGCGACAAAGGATAGGTCCAACTGGTGAGTCTAAACTGTGACTCTTAATAAATTCGAGGCGACTCTATGCTCAAGTTCCGCTCACCTCTACAGTCATACTGCCCATTATGGCTCGTTGATGTCCCTCTAGAGTGACCAGAGCTATGTTGTGTATCTCATCTTCGGATTTCCCGAGAAACTGCTCGCACGCGGTGGATAACATTTCCTCATTTTGCCCTTGAATCTTCACCTGCAGCAGGTACGATATTTTACGATACAATACGTAATGTGCAGCTCGTTAAATCTCGTTTATAACGCGCTAGCAAAGCCCTCAAAATTTTTTAACAATAAATGTATTTGTATCTGAGAAGTCAACTAACATTTACCAAAGTTCTATGACGTGTTTTTTTTAAATAATATCTTTCTAAAACTCGTTTGAAAAGATCCTTCGTTCATTCTGCGGGCATTTACCGTTGTAAAATAAATAATTAGAGCAGTTGAGATGAAATCGATAGTTGTGTAGTTTACTTCTCAGGTATAAATATTGCCGACAACACTTGCAGCATCCCCTGCGTTGGCTCTACAACTTACGCCTTTATACTTTTTGTTATTATACGAATCATTTCAGATCTAATACGGATCGTATGTCAATCTTATTACATACAACTGTGACAAATATATGTAACATCTTGACATAATAGACGCAATGTAAGAGACAACTCTTTCTCGACTACCTGCGCTATGCCTGTTACAGATATCGGGACTCCCTGGCAGGTGTACACCGTCGGGCTCTCGACCTGCAGTGTCATCGTGTTGAGAGAAATCCTGTAAGAACAAGACGCGCGTAAGTCGAGGAATTAATTCGCCGCGTTAATCACGCACGACACGCACTTTTGTACTTGTTGCACGAGGGGCCAGACGAACACCCGGCCTCCAGGCACCAGAAGAGGTTTGCTGTAGCAGCATCCTGGAACAAGTTGGCGCGAGGTAAGAAAATATCAAGAATAACCTGCGCGAGGGAGGAGGGGGGGGGGATTACGGTACGTGAAATTAATAACAGGTGGGAGACTCGAGTGCGGCGCATTACTCCATTATTCCGCGTGCAGCGGGCACCTAATCTACCGCGATTCTAACGCGATCCGAGGTACGAGATAGGTGCGGTTGTTGCTGATCGATCCCGCGCTTCCCCACCGCCCTCGTCCCGCGGATCAATTATCTAGGAGATCCGAGGGCTCTCCCATGTTTTTTTTCCTCTCTCTCCCTTCGCGAGCGCAATTAAATTCCGAGGGAAATTGCGCGGGCGAGATATTACGCGGATGAACGGAGCTACTCGGGGGGCTGCGAGGAGAGACGGCTCCGCGCTCGATTACCTGAGACGACGAGAGCCTCGTTCGGGCCGCAGGTGACGAATCCACAACTCATAATTACACGTCAACGTAACGGCGGCCACTGTGCGGTGAGGACCGTGGGCTTCGAGCAGTCGATTGACGTCGACGTGCCCCTCGTAGTGTACACTTACAACGGAGCGATAGCACAAATTCCTCCCCTCCCGCTCCCTCTTCCTCTTCCCCCCTGGCCGCCGGCGTTCGCCTCCTCCCTCCCGAGGCTGGTCCAGAACGCAGGGCGCATGAGCGAGGCAGGGAGACCTTGGCTTATTAGTTTAAGTTGACACTTTGAAAGAGGCTTTTACATTACGTCCGTCGCTCGCCAAGCTCCAAGCCCTCGGAGCGAGAGCAGAGGGGCAATTGTTCCTCCAGCACGTCGGGATTTAATTCGAGCTTGAAACTGGAGGCTCTTGTGTCGCGTATCTCGGGGGGCAGTCGCTTGCACGCGGCGTTTAGGTAACTCGTCGGCTGCCGCAGCTTCTAGGAGCAACTTTCGGAGACACGCCCGTTTGACATGTTCCAGATGTCAAACACTTGAAGATCAAAGGGATTTAAGCATAGGCGCGTTTAGTGAAAGCAACGTGTAACAGTGTGCAGTACATTATAATTATAGAATAGTAATTATAAATGTACTGTTACTATAATACCCAAGGAGCGCCAATGCGCGTGTAATGTGCTTTAAATGCACATTTAAATCCGCATTTAGTGCACGTATTCGTCCCGCATTAAATGCACATTTAAAACTGTACCATTAACCGCCTATGCATAATATCGCAAATATGGCCAAACATGTTAAATTCGCGCATTTTGAACACCCAAGTAATGTTGTTTTGAAGCCGATGCAATAAAACAATAATTAAGCAATGAGAATATTCTTAAAAGTCGCCAGCAGTAATTAACAACATCAGTGATTTTTATTGACCGTATCTGGCAATTAAAAATTTTCTGTATTATTAAAATTTTAATAATAATTAATTTAATTTAATAATTAAACTACTGTTATATGTATAGTGATAAATAATACTACAAGTAGTATTAATTACGATAATATAATAGAGTCCCCTATTATGGGATGGGATCCTAGTATGGGATAGCGGGGTTTCTGCTAAATTAATAGGCATCATCAGTTGATCCCACTATAAATTTATTGTCCTTGGAGCGAAATCTGTTCAGTGGAAAATTGATTGTTAGATCGTGTACCCATATAGCACAGAAAGTTAAATTAATGTTGCTGAAACGTTGCAGTGTTGAAGTATAAATATCTCTTCTACGTTGAATCTAGGTTATTAGTGTTTGTATATTGATTCTTTATGTTGCCGCAACGTTAAAACAATCTTGAACAAATTATTATTTTCTGACAGTCGAATAGATACTTGAAAAATGTATAATTATGAAATGTATATATATATTTTTTTTGTGCCACGGTCAGAAATTTTCTGAACTAAGATTGGATTATTATTTTAGAGGAATAATCCAATTCCAGCACTTCCAACAGTTGTAGAAAAATGTTCTGCTAAACGCGACCAATGTTAACTCAATATAATTTAACAATGTTTCCTGAATGTTGAATTGTAACGTTTACAAGACATTACAATTTAGCGGACATTAGACGTTTTTGCATTATCTTTTCAACGTTGAATCTAAATTTCGTAACATTGATGCAATATTGCAATGTTGTAATGAAACCTTTCTGAGATGTTGATTCGACATTTGTGTACTGTATGGGGTAATCGTTGCGGAAAAGGATTTGTGATTGAATTTGGGTGTTGAAAGCCTGCTATCTTATAATCTTTCTTCTGCTATTACTATAAGGTTATTGTATGTATAACAGTATTACTATACATACATAATAGTAATAGTATAAAAGTGTGTAAAACTCCAACTCTGGATACCTTTCACCAAAATATAGTTTGGAATTTTTAGGATTTTCTGAGGATCTGTTAGGTAAGACATGCATGCAAACGTAGTATTATTATTAATTACTACTATACGGTAATAGTAATCATTATTAGTACAATATTTGAACACATATTTTTCCAGATTCTTGAGAAATTCGAAACGTTTCCGGACTACATCTCGGTAAAAGGTATCCAGACCTACGTATATTTCGAAAAATCGTCGACTATCAAAAATATATTCTAATAAGACGTTAGAACATACGTCTTTCGAGCCTTTCGAGGGACATGAATGACGCGAATGAAAATTACATCGTAATATTGTATTGTTTCTTTTAAATTGTAATGAACAGAGACATCTGATGTAAGAAGCCATCACGCTTAGGTGTATCCAAAAAGTATAATAGCACGATAAATTAACGATACAGTCCGTCTTAAAATCGTCTAAATTGCTTCTTAAATCTCTCGTAGTGGTAATCGTCCGTCGCCTTCTCGCCATTGTCTTTTCGCTTTCCTCGAATATCCTCCTTGATAATCAATTTTTTCTTGTCGGAATTCTGCTGCGACTTTTGGAAATCTGAATCTTCTATGTTAACTGAAATTATAATAGATAAAAAAAAGTTTTTAACACGAAGAATTTAAATGCAAGGAAATAAAAGGTATACGACGGCCACACTAATTAAGCTTGGTTGATTTATGTACATGTATTTATGAAAAATAATTAAGTGAATAAAATTCTCATACATCTGTTGTGCTGCACGAAATTTACAGCCATGTTGGTAGGAACGAACTGCGAGGGTCCATCCTTCTTTCTGTGCCTGTCCCAAAGAAGTTTTAACTTTGCCTCTTCGGTAGCTTCGATGTTACGAATTTTGGCTCTGAAAATTGAACTGCGCTCTCAGGGAAAATATCTACCATAAAACTAATAGTACAAAGTTTTAAGAACTATACTACAAATGGATTTGACGAAGTTGAATCGTTATTGTACGTTCTTCAAATTTCGAACTTTGAGGAATCATCTTCGTACTTGCGTGCGAGATACATTTCGACTGATCTCTTTCGCAAGGTCGTATCTCAATTTTACGCAATTTCCGAGTTTCCTGTTTAAACACTTATTCTCGTCCTGAATGCGTGTCTAAGCAGAAAAGCTGAAAACTGTGTAAACTCGAGATACGACCTTGCGAAAGAGATCAGAGTGCGACTGTACGTTCTTTGTTACAAGTCTACTCACTCTATGCCAAGATCAACCTCCGGTATACCAGAGAGCATTTGATTCGAGAGCATTTCCTCGCTACGATTGGCCGAGCTTTGCCTCAGATGCTCCGGTACCGCGCGCAACGCCGCCTCCTCGGGCGAGCAGTACGATCCCTTGTCACTATTCGCGCTATTCGCCGCGTCGTCACTATTTTTGCTCTTGCGCTTTGACAATTCCTCTTCTATATACTTGACCCTGGTAGGAATAATTGTATGAGCTCGCGATACAAAACACATAAATCAAGTAGCAGCGACAAATATAACAGAAAGACGCGAACGTGGTGGCGCATACATTTCCTCGTCTTCGTCGCGTTTATTGGTCTCCGCGTTAAACTGCGTCCCAATGCCAGTTTCGTACGCATCGGTCGGCTTGTGTTTCGTATTCTTCAGCGCTGCCATATTAACCATTCCTCCCGTCTTCATGTTGAACGGATCCGACTACATTAACGTAGACCATCTTTCATATTATGTCATCGCCCATGCTATGTTTTAGGCCAGGTCTACATTGAATTGTTAATCGTTAGTCAGAAGTCACATGCCGCCTCGTCTACAATGCGTGGAGTAAGCCTGGCGTAAGGAGTAAGAAAGAACCATAAGCTTTAGTTTTGGATGTAAGGAAGCTAAAATACTGGTATAATTTTTAAAATATGTGGTTACACTGGCCGATGGTGTTCTGATTCGCCGAGAGTAAGCGTAAGAGCTGAAGTAGGAATAAAAAATAAAGCGTCGTCTACAATACGTGGGGTAAACTTGGAGTAAGGAGTAAGAGAGAACCATAACTTTTAGCTTTTGGTGTAAGGAAGCTGAAATGCTGGCATACTTTTTAAAATATTTGTAACACTGGCCGATGGCGTTCCGATTCGCCAAGAGTAAGCGTAAGAGCTGAAGTAGAAGTAAGAAATAAAATTGATTTATTTCTTCACTTCTACTCCTTACTCCAGGCCTAGTTCATGCATTGTAGACGATGTATAATGGATTTGGTTTATTTCGCTTACGACTACTGTCACGACTTACTACACCGGAAGTCAGTCTCTTACGACTCACTGCTACTGCGCTAAAACCTGCTTACAACCTTATTGTAGACCGACCTTAACGCGTGGTCTACAATAGCAGTAGGGGTAGTGGCTTAAAGAAGTAGGCGTTAGACATAGGCTGATGGCAGAGAACAATCCGTAAACGCTTAAGACTGCCTCAGTCGTAGACGTAGGGCAAGGCAGAGAGAAACATAAGTCGTATACAATAGCCTTTCATGGCTTACGTTTCTCTCTGCCTTGCCCTACGTCTACGACTGATTGTGAGACAGTCTTAAACGTTTACGGATTGTTCTCTGCCATCAGCCATAGGCTGTAGGATTAAAGTCCCTTTACGCCCGAGTGTCTACAATGGCGTAGAGTAAGGATTATTCACGAAATGGAATCGAACCATTTTGCTTACAGCCTTACTCTACACCTATTACATAGGAAACATGGGCTTACTCCGACGTCTTACAGCCTTAATCCACTACTCCTACTGCCATTGTAGACCACGCGTTAAATTGATTTATTTCCTTACTCCTATTCCTACTTCAGGCTTACTGCACACATTGTAGACGACGCATCAGCACATATGTCAGTCCCTTTTGTTCCGCCCAAAAAGGAAAAGGATCAACACATACTTCCGACCTCTGACTAACGACTAACAACTCATTGTAGATGGCCGGGTCTTAATTTTACGGCACGTGTCCTACCGTCATGACATCAGACGCAACGCTTTCTCCAAGGGCCAAACCAACGACGTCGACACCAGCCGGTCTCTCGCGGAGCTTTCGAATGATCTTCATCTCCTCCACCTTCTCCCTGAAACGCGTCTCGTTCTGATCACGATCAATTCTTTACGTTAATATTAAGATAGAATGCACACACTCCTTTACCTGAGAGACACCTCCTCCGCCTCGCTGTTATTATCATCCGAGAGAGCTTCGCGTTTCCTTAACGATTTCTTCGTCTTCTTCTTAAACTGGACGTTAGGTGCTTTGTCCTCGCCGCTGTCCATCATTAATTAATTAATTGAACTCTATCCTCTTTCTAGTAAAACCGGAGGAGACAGGTTAACGCGGGTTGACGCACGGTCGCTGTCATCGGCCAATAAATCTCCATCGAGCGGGGTCGAGTATGTCGGGTTCGAGTCTCCGCTAAGCGAACGCAAATCGTCACCGAGAGTTTCTCTTCCTTTTTTTTTCTGCAACGAGACATCAAGGGGATTTTACCGTAAAAATCATGTGAACACAAAACACCGGAGTATTACGCGAGATAAAGTCGACAAATGCGGGGATAGAGTGCAAGATGTTCTGCTCCGCGCCAGCTGCGCATGCGACGTATCAGCTGACATAACGTCACGTGACACGTTCTTCGCGCGAGAATCCATTCTATTCTACGATCACGTGACGCATCGTGAGCTCCATAGTAGAATTTCTCAGATAGTAGCTTCAGCCACGGTCTCACATAAACACTTGCGTTAGGCCCGCTAGGTGTCGCGGGTATCGCGCGTGCCCATAATTTCGTGCGATCGTACTTTTCTTCGCGCCCGTTTCTTCGGTTTGAATACAATAAAGTGCGTGCTGCGTGCGCGATTAACATCGGAAATGCTTCACACAATGCCGGGCGATTATTATTCTGGTGATTAGTGCGCTCGCGATTTTAATCAACCGCTTTTTTTTGTGAATTTTTACCACGTTACCACGAGCGTCAAAAGTAATAAAAAGAGCTGTAAACGGGAAACGAGAAAAAAGTAATTGACTCGAGAAGACGTCGGGTGACGGCAAAGAAACTGTAACATGCTTTGTTATTTATTTCATACTTTTTATCCTACGGAATTTGTGCTTTTCTCCTACGACGGTTGCACTTCGTGAATTATTTTGCGTAGAAGATATTTTGGATTATCTTCAGTATGTGCTTAATATTTGGAAAAATGCTTATAATATTTGTAAAATTTAATACATAGATTATTTTACCGTGTTACACAAATGTTATTTTATATTATTATGCATTTAATCTAATTTAATATTATCATTTCATTTAATTATGTTTAATATAATTTTGTATAAATTATATCACATTACGTCTAAAAAATCAAGAATAGACATAGTTAATTTTACTTTGAATCTGAGAACGTAAAATAGTTTTGTGTAATTTCTAATTTGTGGAATGAATGAACGTCACTGAACACCGCGTATATGAATGTTTTCAGGCTGAAAAGAGAAATTGACAGAAAAGAATGTCGGCGCTCAGGTGACAAGTACAACGATAGCGGCGGAACAGAAAAGATTGTAAGAGATACACAGAATGTGGGGATGTGCGCTTCTACTACCGCAAGCAGGAACGAGAAGTGGGGTGAATCAGTGACGGATTAACAACGGCCGAGGGTGCGAAGTATTGTGTAAAACATACGCGACTTCTTTCTCTCTCAAAATCCATAACCCATTTGCCCGATAAAAATGTGTGCCACAGAAAAAAAGTAGGGAATAATGTCGGTCTCTTTTCCGTAAGAAAAAAAATAACGAGTTATTTCTTCTTTTCAATTACATGGTATTTCATATGTGTATTACAAATTTAATATCGTATTTTCTTAATTAAAAGACACGTTATATTTCTGTATTTAAGAAAAGAGAGAGACAGAGAGAGAGAGAGAGAGAGAGAGAGAGAGAGGCGACAGAAGGGAAGAACTTACCCTAAAAATTTGATCACGTAGCACAAAATTGTGACGTGTCATTTGACTTGAGGAACAAGATTCAAAGACCCTGCTTTTTTTAAAAGGCCTCTTTATCCTCGATCTCTCGTGCCGATCGAAGCACCGCTATTCCCACGCGCTTTTTCCCCAAATGTTAACGAGCGCCCGTTTTCACCGCGACGATATTTACAGGGAGGGGAGACGTGGTCCGGTAAATTCAACGTGAATCCACCACGGTGCCGGTCGACTGATCCGGCACTGCGGGCAGCGGCCGTAGCGTGGCAAAAGCCGACAGTGGGAGAATAGCGGCTCCGCTGTTGATACCGTAGGTAGTGCGCAGTGGTAAAGGCCTCCGTGGTGCGCGCGGGCCGTGGTGAACGCACACACAACAGGTGTCCCGGCGCGATCGGCTCTCCCGCGGTACCGGTTCGGCTCGGTTCTCCATTTTGCTTCCCCCTTGAGGTGTTGTTACTCCCCGCACTCGCCTTTCACTCCGGGACGGACGGAGAGCGAGCGGAGGCCCGCGCGAGAACCGAGAGCGTGATACCCGCGTGAAGCGCGTGTGTGGTGAACCCGAGCGGCCAGGCGCGGATCGGCGTAACATGATGTCGGAGACCGTGGTGACCATGGACGGTTCCAGCAACAACGCCAGCAACAATCCGCGGCAGGTGCCGACGGTGAAGACGGAGCCGGGCCAGCCGAATCCGCTCGCCGGCATCAGGCTCAACGTGTCTTACTTCAAGACCATACCCGGTATCCTCAAGCTGGTGCAGCTGGTAAGCGCGGCTCGCCTTTTCCTATCTCTTCGCTCGCGCTGTCCTCGCTCTTGCCGTTCCGCTCTCGCGGCGCGGAATACTCGCAACTAGGCGCGACGAGGCTGGCACGCGCGCGTCTACCTTTCATACGGATATTTCTATTTCGTCCCGATAGCAAATTCGAGCGTCGTCCGATCGATTCGTCGCGGATGAACCGCCGTTCCCGGTCGCCGAAACGTTTCTTTTTTCCCGCGAGGTAGAACAACGCGGGTCGCATGACGATATGTAAATATGCGAGGCCGAGAGAGACCGGAGTCTCTTTTTATCACTCCGTAATGACTGGAAAAGATAATAACAGGCCGCGTCGTTTGTGACATTTGTCCGACGATATCTCTCGCGACTTGGCATTTTGAGATATTGTTTTGCAGGAGTTGTGTAATGCAGTTTCACCTCGCGTCGAGTGGAATTTTCAAATTGATAAAGAGCGCACTCCCGATGCAGCTGTCGAAGCTGACAATGAGTCTCATACAATCAAGTGGAGCTTTGCTTATCGGTGAATTACACGCGTGATCGATGGTTCTTTGCGATGACCAGCAATTTTTGTCAGGTCACGCAAAGATGGATATCCGATGATTTATATTCTCTAGAACAACGATCTGATAAAGCAGTGGCCAACTCTACTCTCACGACGCGACCGTCAAGTCGATCGTTTCCTGAATTGTTCCTGAATTGTCGGTTTCTCAGAGACGGCTCCTCTATTTTCAGCCTTAGCTTGATACACTTGACGCTTATCGCGTAATATCTATTATTAGAAACTTTAGAGACGTATATTTTTATAACGCCATGTAACAATTTCTGGTAAAGTAGCGCTACAAGCCGCTAAAGAGCCAGAGAGCTGACAATCTGACAAATGAACGCATTATACATTTTCTTTTATACACGCGAGTTACACAAAACCGTGACATAATCGAAGATGCCTACGCTTTTATCTACTTTGACGATCGCTGCGAACACCTGTAAGTACTGTGCCGCCTTTGCGTTGCCAATTGGCAGCGCGGCGTATTTCATTATTAAATGAGCTCGAGGGAGATTCAAGATTAGAATGGCTCCACGTTTCTCCCCTTTTTCTCTCCTCATTGTACCGTTCTCTTCGTCGCCCCATTCCGGAGAATCGCCGATAAGTGGAAAGGGATCGACGCGAAAATCTCCACCCGCTTTGTACTCGCTTAGGCCGATGGCAGAGAACGATCTGTAAACGCTTAAGACAGTCGTCTTACCCAGCGAGAGACGACTCGTCGATCGATGTCAAAACGGTGTCGAATCGATGTCTAATCGACATCGTTTCGACGAATCATTTCTCACTGGGTAGTCGTACCCTTGGGAAAATATACCCAATATAGAAAACCTTAAAATTTTACTTTAGTAAAATAAGTAACATGAAAAGTAAATTTGGACACTTTAAATTTAGGTAAACTTAAAACTTACCTTAAGAATTTAAAAGAAAACTTTAAGAATTGTGAAGAGTATGCGATATAATGTATAATACCGCGTTTTCCTCTTACGAGAAAGTGCTGTGCCG